GAGTTTGTGTTTCGTGGCTGGGCCCTCCTGCTCAGCGTCGGGAGGTCTCAAATGGATTTTCACCCCGGAACCGTCCCAGTGTGAAAATCCGTATGGAACCCTCTCCCAGCGCAAAACGGCTCTCTCGGGGACGGGGGGGGAGGTGTACGCGAGCTCCCAAAATGGCCATTTTCCAAATTAAAATTCTCATTGGGGAGCTTGTTTGTCGCGGCCGGGCCTTCCAGCTCAGTGTCGGGAGGTCTCAAATGAATTTTCACCCCGGAACCGTAGATGCGGATTCAACCTCCTCCTCCACCTTCACATCCTCCACCTTCCCTCTTGAGTCGTTCTTGGGGCCCTCTTGGGCTGCCTTGGAGGCCTCTTGGGCCGTCTGGGGGGCCTCTTCCCATCCGTAAGGCCCCAAACCTCGGGCCCCAATAAATGAACCGCCGGGAGGAGGAGGAGGAGGAGGAGGAGGAGGAGGAGGAGGAGGAGGAGCCAATAAATGAACTGCCGAGAAGAAGAGGCCGAGAGTTGGGGGGCCCAGCGCCGTGTGGTGACGGACCGCGTGGTGACCTCGGAAACCCCAGCGGCCTCACCGCGCGGTCCGTCACCGCACGGTCTTGCGACCCTGAGGCTCAGGTCGCCCGAGACGTCCTCGGAAAACGACCCGAGTCCCAAAACCGTGCGGCGACCCATAACAGAGCCTTTTTTCCCAACCACCCTGTGGTGTGGGGTCCTCGTCATGAAGAGACAGCGCCGCGCGTCCTCTCACCTCCTCCCGCCAATAGGGAGCTCCACCGGAGGCAACAGAGGGAAAGTTCGCATGGCATCGCCGCCACATTTCGGCACACCCCTCACACTTTTCGTGGTCCCATTGGGAGCTCCACCGAAGGCCCCAGTGCTAAGGCCCCAGTCGGAAAGTTCGCATGGCACCACCGGCCCATCTCGGCACACCCCTCACACGATTCGCGGCCCCATAGGGAGATCCACCTGAGGCCACAGGGAGAAAGTTCGCATGGCACCGCCGCCCCATTTCGGCACAGCCCTCACACTTTTCGTGGTCCCATAGGGAGCTCCACCTAAGGCCACAGTGGGAAGGTTACATGACAACGCCCCGCTTCGGCACACCCCTCACCCGCTTCGTGGCCCCATAGGGAACGCCACCGAATACGAGATTCACAGTTGCGGCACTCACAACTGCATATGGTTGGGTCCTTCGCCCGGCTAATTGTCATGCTTCGCGGGAGCGGCCGTTACCGGCCTCGGCCGCCCCATCCCACAGGTAACGTCACGATCGTGCTGGACTCCCAGACGGCTCGGGAGGGCTCCAAGAAAGCTCCCAGCGAGCACCCAGCAGTGGCACCCAGGAGGGCCCTTTGGGTGCCACTGTCAGAAGGCGCTCTGGAGCCGCTCTTGGGCTTCTATCGGGAGCCTTTCGGAATCTCCTGAGGAGCCCAAGAGGAGCCCAAGAGCAGCTTGTTGGCCCTCTTGGAACCAATGACACCCCGATCGTGGCACCCACGAGCCCTTCTTGGGTGCCAGTCGGGTGGCCTTGGGGGGGGCCCTCCTGGGGTCCTCTTGGGCCCCCTCTGGTCTACTCTCGAGGCCCCGTTGGGCTTCTCTCAGGGCCCTGGTGGGGCCGATCTGGGAAACCAGGCAGAGCAAGGTGACCGAGAAACTCTCTCAGCCACCCGTCGGGCCGCTAAGATCAACTGCGCGCAGCTGATCTCATAACTGGATATCGTTTAACCGACCCCTATCCCCACTGGCGTGGCCCTCGTCCCACTGAGCGATTTACCCCCCCACACGATGGGATGTATGCCGTCTCCCCCGGGTTTTAGGGGGTAAATCTCTACCTCGGCGGCGGGGGGAAGGGTAGGTTGGTAGGAGGCTCAATTGGGGTTGGGGTCGGTTAGCCGATACTGCATAACCTCCTCCACTTTCCCTGTCCTCCCCCACCACCCCCGACGTCGCGATTTCTTCCCAACGGCGGCCCTGGATGTGTGAACCTCTTCCCCGGGATCAGCTAGTTCGATCCGGCTATATTGTACTGAGCTGTTTGTTCGCTCCAGAAGACCAATGAGGGATTGTGGAGCCTGGGAACGGCCGAAAACGCTCCGTCGTCGTCGTCGCCCGTGGGGAGGGCTTCATGGATCCAAGTCCCAGAAGCCCTTTTCGGAACCTGAATTAGAGGCTGTTTGCGGCGTTCCGTCGTCGTCGTCGTGGTCCATATTAAGGGCCTGATGGATCATGCTCCTGGCAAGCCTTCCGGGGACATGATTTTTGGGAGTGTCTTTGGGGCCTGCTTGGGGCGTTCCGTCGTTGTCGTCGCCTCTTGGGGAGGCCTCTTGAAGGCGCAAGGAATGATGTCCCCGGAAGGCTTGTTGGCAAAATGAATATTGGAAGTGTCTTAGAGCGATGCGTGGGGCGTTCCGTCTTCATCATAGCCTCTTGGAAGCCATGTTGTGGGCCTGATGAATCATGTTCCTGGCAGGCCTTCTAGGAACATGATTTTTGGGCGTACTCCTGTCTTGGAGGGCTGTTGATGGCGCTGCGTCATTGGCGTCGGCCATGCCTGGGGCCTGATGAATCATGTTCCCACAAGAACTTCTGGGAGCATGATATTTATACATGTCTTAGGGGGGTGCTTGGGCCGGTCCGTCGTCGTCGTCGTCGCCTCTTTGAAGAGCCATGTTGGGAGCCCGATGAATCATGTTCCCGCAAGGACTACGGGGAACATGAATTGTGGGAATGTTTTGGGGGGGGCCTGATTGGGGCGTTCCGTCGTCGTCGTCGCCCATGTTGGGGCGTTCCCTCGTCGTCGTCGGACACGATGATCGCGTACCTTGAAAAAACCTGGGCGGGAAACCTGTGAAAGACCGAAGAGGACGAGGAGGAGCAGGCAACGAGGGGAAGAAAAATGCAGGAAGATGGTGCAGTCAGGTGATATTACAAATATCATCATCCGATGCACCCCCTCCTGGTCCCTCCGGGGCCTCCCCCTGGCCGCTCAAATTATCTAGGGGCCTTCGGCCCATCCTGCCTCTTGGAAACAATTTCGAAGCCTCTCGGGGCCGGTTTTGTCGGCCTCTCGGTGCCTCCTGGGAATTGATTAATCGAGCGGAATCCCGGAATTTTCGATTCGTTGTCCCCCTCCTGGGCCCCTCTTGGGGCCGCCTTGGAGCTCTCTGGGCCCTCTTGGGCCCTCTTGGGCGCCTCTTGGGCCGTCTTGGCGCCCCCTTGGACCGTCTGATGGGGCCTCTTGGGAGCTTCTCTTGCCAATTTTTGTTCCCCTGAAGAAATACGGTGACTGTGCAGGGTTTTGCCTGACCGGGCCATAGCCTTCGGCAAAGATCGCTGCTCATACTCGCCGGCCCAACGGGCCAGAGGCGTGCTAAACTCTCCAGTAACATGCTAACAGTATTCTAGTTCGCGCGCGCGTGGCGGCCCCTGGGGGTCCCGGAGCGAAAAGTACCCCCGGCAACTCCCAGCAAATCCAGGCCAGAGATGCCGGATCTCTTTGCCGCGGGCCTGGAGGCTCTGGAACCGTGCAGGAGCAGCCCAATGAGTCGACAAATAGGTAGCAGGCTCTACGGCCAGAAGCCATCAGCGTCCCAAGGCGGCCCAAGATGGCCTCACGATGGCCAACGATGCCCCCAACACCCCCCTCGAGGCTTCCAAGAGGCGTCCCGAGCGGCAAAAATCATGGATTTTCTTTAGGTTCTTGGAGGTGTTCAGCTTTCTCACCTTTTCAGTTTTCCGATGCTACAAGAGAGCTCAAGAGGCCTCCAAGACCGCCCCAACACAGCCCAAGAGGCTCCCAAGATGGCCCCACGATGGCAAGACAGCTCCAAGACGGCCCAAGTGGCGGCCACACGGACCTGAAAACGCCCCAAGACGGCCCCTAAGAGGCCGGAGACGCCCCCAAATCGCCCCAAGTCGCCCAAGATGGCCTCAAGACGGCCCAAGAGGCCGCCAAGACGGCCCAAGAGGTTTCCAAGAGGCTTCCCAAGAAGTCCACACGAGACAAAAATCATTGACTTCCTTTGGGTTAGTGTAGGTTTTTAGCCTTCTCGCCTTTCGGCTTTCCGACGCTCCGAGAGGGCCCAAGAGACCGCCCCAACACAGCCCAAAAGGCTCCCAAGATGGCCCCACGATGGCCCAAGACGGCTCCAAGACGGCCCAAGTGGCGGCCACACGGGCCCGAAAACGCCCCAAGACCGCCCCAAAAGGGGCCGGAGACGCCCCCAAATCGCCCCAAGTCGCCCAAGATGGCCTTAAGACGGCCCAAGAGGCCGCCAAGACGGCGCCCTCGTCCCCAAGAGGCGCCCAACATCTCCAAGAGGCCCCCCAAAGGCCCCCAGAGAGCCCCGAGAGCCCCAAGAAGCCCCCTACATGATCCCAGGGCGCTTCCAAGAGGATCCCAAACTGCCCCACAGGGACCCCCCGAGAGCCCTCCGAGGAGACCCCAAGACGCCTTCACGAGGACTCTGACCCACAACCAAGGCGCGGCGGCGGCATCGACCGAAGGCCACCAGATGGTGTGAGTTTGTAAGTGTGAGACGTGTAACTGCCCCGCCCCCCCCCTCTCCCCCTCCCCCTCCCCCTCCCCCTCCCCCTCCTCCTCCTCCTCCTCCTCCTCCTCCTCCTCCTCCTCCTCCTCCTCCTCCTCCTCCTCCTACCTCCCTCCCCGAGTGCCCGCGCTGACGCCACGAACCCGTCACGACCCCCAAAGCATCCCGCCCAAAAACGTCTACACAAAAGACTGCTCCGCCTCCGGCTTCTGAAAACCCACCACCACCCCAGCACCCAGACCCCTCTTCCTCCTCCTTCTCCTTCGTCTCATCTTTTCTCCTCCATGTGGCACCAAGGGAAGGTTCCAGGTGGCGCCAATGGAAGGCAATGGCCGCCTTCAGTGGACCGATCGCCCTCCTCCTGCTCCTCCTCATCTTCCTCCTCCTCCTCCTCCTCCTCATCCCCATCATCCCGGTCCTCCTCCTCCTCACTTCCCCCGACATCTTCCCCTCCCCGCCCTCATTGAAGCAGCTGGCGCTGCTCTGCGTCGGTCGATGCCTCACGATCCCACAGAAGCCCGGCGATCGTTGGGGTGGCGTCGTCCTCCGACTTGCTGCGCGGCGCACAGCACGCGCTGTACATGATGAGTGAGCCGCACGCAATGAACGACAGCGCATAAAAGAGAAGTGGCGCCGTCAGGGAACTGACATCGTCAACGTGCACAGCAAGCATCCCGCAACCAAAAGCCAAAGTTTTAATCACCTTGGTGGTGATGACGGCTGCGCTCATCGTGGCGTCTTGGTAGGGTGGCTTGATGGCAAAGACGAGCGCCGTCGCGGCGCACACCGTCATCGAAAAAAACATATTCCGCGAGGGCCAACCGCGAAAAGAGGTCAGCATACGCAGTCCACTTCATGTGCTCCGGATTGGGCTGAAGCGGACCGAAATTCGTGCACTGTGCGCGGCGCTTCCTGCCCCGGAGCCAAGCCGACGGATGGCAAAGGGTGCCGGGCTCCACGTCATGGACGTTCCCCTCCGCGCCTGTCAATGGAAGGAGCATGGCAAAATAAACGACCCCTCCGACTACGGCAAAGACGGACAACAACATATGAAGTCCGGTGTAGCAAGTGATAGCTGGAGCCACGTCGAGCACGCGGTGCTCCTTTACGACGTGGCAGTCCACCACCGACGCCAGCTGCTTGACCAGTGGGACCACACACAATCCACTGAAAATCTTCACTGCGAACGCGAATTTACGATAGTACGCCGAACCAACATACGCAAAAGCTGCTGACACGGCGCAGCACGCCTTGCAATAAAATTAAAACTCTGGTGAAACACTAGGAAGGGTGAAATCTGCCGACCCCTTGGGGATCATCGGCGTGTGAGCGGCTTTCCCCTCCCAAAACCCCTCCCCCTGGAGCCTGGTCCGGCTGATTTGGAGGGGGGGTCCGTAAGGTGCGGGATTCAATGTGATTTGACGGTGGTGTTTACAAGCATACACACTGTAAATAATGTGCATACGAATGTATATTGTGAGAATGTGTGTGTGAACGCACATAATGTGTGTACATGTACATAGTCACAAATTTACATACAAACACACACACACACACGTATATATATATATATATAGACACATGTGACACGAACCATATACGCGTTATGCGTACGCATCGCTAAACGTAACGTGTTATATATATGTGTGTAAGTGGCTGAGCCCGTGTATATACGCATTTATATTTAAATAAATATTATCACGGCCAGCTAGTGCAACCCACGGCGAACAATACTTGCACACACCTCCGTTACATATACGTGTACGTGTACGACCATATTGTTATATGTATGCGTGTACATAAGCATAGATACAATCACACATGCATATCCGAACATCACATATCTATGTAGTAATGATACGAGCGCCTTGCGTACGCGAAGTTATGCGTAATGTAACCATGGGTGTTTGGTAGAGAGTGGGAACGGGAACGAGATATACAAACTTGTGCAAACACACACACACACACTTATATATATAGATAAAGGAACGTAAGAAAACATTGCAATATTCCAGAAACGGCATTGCACACACCTGTGTTGCATGTATTGAATGCGGTGTCATGCTTAATGTCGTTTGAATTTACAACGCAGTATCCGCACATATTAAACTTGCACACGTATTTTATATACATATATACAGTTGTATATGCAAACCGCATATTAGAAATGGGGGTGGCGCCGACGGGGCACGCCGACGGGCGGGGCGCAGGCGGGGAAGAGGGGCGCGAGCAGGGCGGGCGAGGACGGGGCGACAAGGAGCAGGAACAATGGGGGTGGGCTCCAGGAGCAGAATGTACTTTTGCCGCTGAACCCCGAATCGAACCATATCCACCCAAGACAACTACAGTCCGAATGCCAGAAACGCATTCTGGACCCGACCATGTCCAATCAGGCACCTCTAACTGTAAGCGACGGGGGCGGGCAGCGCAACGCGCGGGGGATCGCTGCGCGAGCGCCCCGGGCCAGCGGCAAAACGCCATCGGCCAGGGGCTAGGCCAGCAGTTGTGCTAACATGCGCCACGTGCCAGTCACAGGTCGCCCACTGGCTGCGCGGCATCTCGCGCCGCTCCGACCCGTAAATTGCATGCGCATCGCAATTTTCACCTGCAAAGAGGGCTGCGTCCATCGGCATGCCTGGAGAGAACGCATCGCTCTGGAGGCACGTTGGCACTTGCATCTGCGGGCCCGCAGGGCATAAAACATCTGCGCGCCCTCGCTCGGGCTGGGTCTCTCAACTGGCCGTGGACCAGGGCTTATCGCGATGATCCCTCCCTGGATCTCCTCGTGGCTTGGCGGAACAACGATGTGCTCTCGCGCCGCGAGCTCAGGCGGGGAATCTCTGTCTGGGTCATGCTGGAGGCGCCATGGCGCGCGAAGATGCCTGAGCGCCGCGCGGAAATCACTCTCGCGTCGGAGTCTGGTGCCAGGGGCCCTGCCAGCGCAAATGCGCCCGAATCGCTTTCGCTGGCGCCTGGCGGCAGCTGGCCCCAGAACTGCCGGCGGTTCGTCCTGTTAGCCGCCCGGCGTCGCGCCAACGCTAGTCGCGAACTCTGCCGTCGGCCCGAGCTCGCGCGGACTCGCCGCGGGGCTGCGTTAACGACGTCTTCAAGTTGTGCTCCTGTAGCCGCTGCTAGCCCTCCGCGGTCTTGTGCAACGTGAGCGCCCCGATTGGGGCCCGATCCGTGCTGCAACCATCTTTGGGTATGTTCACGCGGAGGTTCTTTTGGACTTGCAGCATGTTAGCTAGCATCCCATCTGTTGCCAAGGTCAAATCCAGTTTCGATGGCCCTGGCGCGGATTGGCCTGTCGTTCGCCTTGCGGCCAGCGGTGATTCCGTCGAACTCCTTGCTGATTCGCATCTCGCTGGTAACGTTGATGCCGTGTCCCTCAGGGGTCTAGGGCGGCGCGGCTGCTCAGCTCGGCCTCTGCCCCGACCGCGCGGCCGGGCAGCTCCTCGCGCGAAGGCGGCCGCGCAACTCATGGCGCAGGCTGCCAAAGCAGGACGCGGTTTCAACGGATGGGGCGCGAGGCCCTTGGGCGAACAACGCCATGCATCGCCGTGGCGTACTTGCGGGCCCTCTCGGGGCCCATGGGGGCCTGCCGGGGGGCCCCTGGGGCCTCTCGGAGCATCTGGGGCCGCCCCGGGGCGCCAATTGGCCCGTCTGGCGCCTTCGGGGACCGTCCTGGGGGCAACTCAGGGCCGCCCTGGCGCCATCTTGGAGCGCTTCTGGGCCATCTCGGGGCTCTCTCGGGAGCCCCCCCACCGATCTCGGGGCCGTCTTGGGCCGACTTGGGGGCCCCGTGGGCTGCCCGGGCGCTATCCCGGAGGCCCCGCGGGGCCGCCCTGGGCGATCGGAGAACCCACTCGCGCGGGAACTTCTGCTTTAGCATGCCCGAATCTACCTCGCGATCCGCCGCCGCGTCTGCGCGGGGAGAGCGCGTCCGCATGCCCCCGTGGCCCCGTTCTGGGAAGGCTTTCTCCATGGTCAAGAGGCTCTGGTGACGGACTCACGACAGCCCATGAGACCATCGAAGCGGCCCAGGATGAATCCAGGAGAGCTCGAGGAGGCGTTGGAGTATGATGGGGCAGGTTGAGCAGAGTAGAGTAGGGTAGCGTAGAGTCGAATTGAGTAGCGTAGATTGGGGCATGATAGAGTAGGGCGGAGTAGACTAAGACGAGAAGGTAGTCGCAAAGACAATTAGGAGGGAGGAAAATAGAGTAGGGTAGAATAAGGTGTGGGCAAGGCAAGGTCGGGCAGCGGCTCACCCTCCTCCTCCAATCCACCCCCCCCCGCCCCCCTCACCGTTCCTGCGAAGCGGAGGGGGGGGGGGGGGGCGGCGACCGCGCCCGCCCAAGGGCGCGCTGCAATGCATCGATCACACTCCATTGATTGGACCACGTCGGTTTCAGGAGCGACCAGATAAATTTCCGCGCTCACCAAGGTGGCCCAAGCTGGCCTCCGGCACGGCCCGCGATAGCCGAGCGTGCCCGACGCGTCTTGAGCAGCACTCTGAGGAGGAGCGCCGTGCGGATGATGATGTTGTTTACGGCGATGCTGTCGATGGTGCTGGCGATGGCGACGCTGCGCGGCTGTTTGCCGAGCGGCATGGACAGCGGCCCATCGGCCCGAACAGTCGGGGCGATCTCGAGGCGACTCCAGCCGACCACTGCTGGTCAGCAGCGGAGGAAACTTGCGCTGTTCTGCAAACGTGCCAAGTGCCCATTATCAATCGCTGTCCTCTGCCTATGCGTCGGCGCCCACCCCCCAGCGCCCCCAATCTTGAACGTGGCCGAGTAGGCGGTCTGGAGCCGAAGGGCGTTCGGCCTGGCCGGGGCGACCTGCTGCTCCATGCCGCCGAAGACGTGGCCGATGACTTCGGGCATGGCCTCCATGGTCGGGTGCGCGATCGCACTCTGGGCGAAACGCGTCGGCTCGACGCGGGGGGCGCTGGCCCCAGCGGCGGGGGGGCCGTCAGACGCGGCGCCGACGGCGCCGGCCGCGGCGGCGCCCGCCGCGGCCTTCCCCGCGGCCGAGCCCTGGGACCTCGGGCTCCGCGCTGGCGGAAGGGCAGCGTCGTCAAGCTGGGGGTGCCCGGGGTCTGCTGCGGAGGGTGGTCGGGGGTGCCTGGCGGCGCCCGGCCTCGCGGGGGGCGGTCGGGGGCGCCTGGGCTTGCGAGGCCACGCGCACCTGATGGGGTGACATCGCGCCTGGGCGAAGCGAAACCGCTGCGGAACGGGCCGTGGAGCCGAGGGCGCCGCGCGCCCGCCGCGGAGCCGAAACAGCTGCGGAATGGGCGAGGGGCGGGGGGGCGGATTGGTTAGCTTCATCGTCGCGCCCCTTGTGCTCGCGCATCGCATCTTCGCTTGCCTCTGGTTTCATAATTTCGCGCCTCTTATATTTGCACCTTTTAGTTTCGCGCCTCTGATATTCGCGCTTCCTTGCCCTCGCGCCTATAATCTCTGCGCGCTTAACGTATATTGCTTACTGGCGTGTTCGCGTCGCGCCTCTATCTTTATTCTTATCTTCGCGCAGATGGATGTTCGGGAAAAGGGGGCGATGGCACTTGGTGCCCCCTTTCTCTTGGCGCGCCATGATCGTGGACTGCGAGTTTTTTCGGGCCGCGTCCGCGCGCGGAGCCGCGGACACATACATACAGACGGTTATATATACATACATACAGACATACATACATACATATACATATGTATATATATATATACATACATACATACATACATACACATATATATACATATATATATATGTATTTTTACAGTTATATATATACATACATACATACATACATACATACATACATACATACATACATACATACATACATACATACATACATATACAAACATACGCGCACATCAATCAATGGGGGCGCGCCGCTGGATAACCCGAAGGGGGGGTGGGGGGAAACCCCTTCCCCCCCCCTTTTCCCTGGCCCGTCGTCGGAGACCCCCCCCCCCTTTCCCGGCGCGTCGCCGGGGACCGGCCCCCCCGATTCCCGGTCCATCGCCGGGAACCCCCTTCCCACCCCCCCTTTCAACAGGGAGGGGGGGGGCTCGAACGCCCGCCCCCCTCCTGAAATTCGACCCCCCCCCTCCCTCCCCCCGTTTCGCCGCGCCGCCCCCTGACTCCAGAACCCGCCCCCCCCTACCGCCCCTAACCCTAGTGCTCGCCCGAGCCCCAGACCCTGAACCGAACCCTTCACCCTAGCCCCAGACAGTACACGATACTCACTACTAACTACCCACGACTCAGTACTCACTGTTTCCTACTCACTAC